AATGTTTGCTGAAACTATAACAGGCAGATGTAATGACGTAATATAGGAAACAAATGCCGATCGCTCTATCGAATGGGGTGTAACCCCAAAACGGAAACTTTATCAAACAAAATTGTTATTTTCACATAATATTAATAATAATCATGTTTACGTAACACAGGGCTTGGGGCACGGCAGATGATATTGATAAGAAGAATATTGAAAAGATAAAACAAGTATTGGTTTTATGTCCCCTCGAGGACAATCGATCGATTTGATACGTTTAATAAATTGTTTCCGCGTATTGTAACATTCGTTATTAAGGTTGCTTTTAGAATACAGACTTGATTTGCCAGTAGCGCCACACTTAGAATTACAGAAAACGTATAATGCTAAGCACATCCTGAATTGATTGTTCTTGGAAATGTACAGGATAAATAAAGAGAACTTATAAGTATAAAAATTCATATATTTGCTTAAATATGCATTTAATTTGTTCAGATAACCTAATAAAAATAATATTAAAATTACCATCCACATGACGAGGGTTTTGTAAAAGCCGACACCGAAAAACGTCGGAAGCATTAAGTGGGTTGTGACCTTCACTGAAATAATCACAATTGCTTTATCCACACGTAGGTTAATTCGAGCCAAAATTCCAGACAGACTCGCTAACACAAGCGGTTGGATTTTTGTCGTTTCTTGAACCTCAATCCGTGAAACGTACCACCTAATGGAAAGTGACGATGAGGTCGATGATGGAGCATGCACTCCTAAATAATGTCTGTTCACTCTCGCCTGGAAAAGGCCCAAGTTATATTGTTCAGGGAATAAGTCTGCACGCAGGGAATTCCACTTCAGAGCCATTCTCCATATACTTGACTCGTCCACACATTACCCTCGCACGGAATATTTAGCCTTTTGTCTCAAGGTCTGCCTTAGCTGTATTGCGAACGCTGTATTGCAAATGTCTATAGGTTATCGTAACTTCTTTCCATAAAAAAAAAATCATAACTCGAGCTGACTTTAGGCAGTAAACTGAATTTTCTAGATTAACTCAAAAAGTGGCTTTAATACGTAGTAACTATAAATAAGTTGTGATATTCATTTTGGCATCAGATAACGCAATATGATATTTGCATTGCTGTTTTTCCTTTGTTAGTGTACAAAATGTCCTCTTAGATAAGTGAGAGATATTGTTACAAGCACTATTTGCCTAAACAATATTAATATATACAAATATACTTGCAGCAGCAGTACAGCTTCTTGTGAAAGAGTGCGTCTTAGGAAGTACTGCCCACCTTACCTATTTCTGCCGCCAAGCAGTAATGTCAGCATTACTGTGTTCCAGTTTTGAAGGGTAAGGGTGCTGGTGAAATTACAGGCACATGGGACTTGTCTACTTATGTCTCAGGGTGACGAGCGCAGTGGCAGTGCCCCTCAGATCTTTGCTATTTAAAGCTCTGTATGGCACTTCAATTGTTATGGACAAGCATGTAGGTTACCATCAGACGATGACTTATTCGTCCCGTCATTTATTATAAAATATAAAAATATAATACAACAAATCCACTGTCTAAAACGTACAATCTGTATTGCACAAACAGTGGTACGAGTATACTGCGCTGTTTCATGTGAGTATGATTGCTAGGACTAAAGGAAAATTGCCAGAAGAAGACGGGTAGCATCATCTTCTACCCATCTTGGCTAGAACTGCGATCGCCAACCCGCCTGCCAAGCGTGGCAATTATGGCAAAATCCTCCCCCTATGGTATTGTAGACTAGGCAGTATGAGTACAAATACTGGCTGAATGAATATAGAGTTGTGTTTGGAATTGTATAAAAAAAATATGATGTAAAAAGAAGAACATCTGAGTTGTTCTGGAACAGGCTTCGATCAGCTTATACGTAATAAATATCTATTCATGGAAATAGCCCAGTATCTTTAAAAAGTGCCTCTACTCGAACTGCCTAGGGATATACTATGCAGTATGAGTAGAAATACTGGTTGAATGAATATAGGTTTGTATTTGTAATTGTATAAAAAAAATAGGATGCAATGTTTTTTATGTGAAAAACATAGCATTGTTGTCTATTCCATATGTGCTCAAATAATTAAAGCTGTACCAATCACAAGTCTGGTTTAATTCTGCCTTCCCCTTTCCATCATCGGGGGATAAGGCGTGGGCTGAGACATAGGCTGACATTGCAACGCTTCCACTGCATAGCCATTCGCTTATATGCGAACGGCCTGCAGACTTATTCCCCGAACGCTATAACTTGGGTCTTGAAAACTCACGGCGAGAGCGAATAGGTGTTATTTAGGTGTGTACACGGGTGAGATCGAGGTCTAATGCGAATTTATTTTATTGTAAAAAAAAAGTTCCTAGATTTTGTAACTTTTCGAAAACTGAACTTCAGAAAGCTAAAGTACATATGTTTTTGTTTGTTTTTTTTCGTAAAGAATTTTATATTACAAATACAAGTTTATATTTTCCTATTCAAATTTTTTTTTATTGAACTCAACATGCCTCTATGATCAACGTTTTCAGTAAGAACATTTTTGATCTTGTAATAAGTCTCACAAATCAATGTCATTATGATCTAATCATATTATTTCTAGATACAACAAAAATCAAACGATAAAATAGAAATGGTAAACGTTTTTCAAATTTATCTATATGTGGTACACTGACTCGGCGAAAATTGGGTCCGTAAATAGTAATGGTATCCTAGAAAATGACAATAGTATTTAAGGGTTAAGAACATAGAAAATTGACGTAATTGAGGACAGGCAAATACACTACATTTATCTTTACTTTCCGACGCACTGCTATACTGCGAACATAGGATTTATTTTCACGATACCTCTCTAAAAAAATGCCTATAGAAAGATTCTGTTGTCCTAATTAAATATTATCATATCACATTTTGCCATTAGTAGGGAAAAAATTAAATGCGTATTTTTTGTATGGGACCATATATTTAGTGCCCCATCGTTACAAAGTCTTAGTCGATCCTGTCTTAGTCTTAGTCCATAGATTTGCCCACTAAACGCGGGCCCAAACCTGCCTATACACTACCTATACGTGTCAGAAAATGTGCAAAAATTGCTCATAAATACGATTATTGATTGAATACAACCAATAATCATATATATATATACGTATACATTGCAATTATAATCATTATATTTTATTATTTGGCTTTTGTAAATGTTTAGACTTCATAAGTACAGTGTACATTATTGCATGAGTGTCTGGCTAAAAAAGTATGAAAACTTTGTTTGCCTAAAATGAATTATTATAATGCTTTTATAATCTATTAAATACATAAATTATTGATTAGTTTACTGCATTATGCGGTCCAAGCCGATTCTCTAAATACCCCTATTTAATTTTTTTTAAATATCATAGTTAAACTAAGTTTACCAATACTAATATCGCTTTCGAAAACTATTGCTTACTCGATAGGTCTTTTCTACGGCAATGACGCGAAAAAAAAATTGTGGGGTAGATTGAAAAGAAATCTATTTATTACTGTCGTCAGTTTTAAGATGCAGTATGACTCCAAATTTCGTGTGAATCAGTTGACTTGTGTTGTGTAGGAAATTTCTTAAAGGTGGTACACCGTGTTGAGTGTATGATAACCTGATAAAGTGTAATCAAGTATGTATTCGCTTATCAGTGATAACGCGAACAAGTGCGCAGAGTGGACCGTTCGATATTACGCAGCCACATTGAGGTATTCTATGCTGTTTACGTTAATATTTTTAGGTTCAATCGTGCTGTTTTTATATGTGATAGATAAATTAGGCCAACAACCGCACATCATATTGCTGCTTTTCATGAATATTTATTCATGTTAGTCTTATAAAATAGTCGCGTGTGATAAATTTTGTAGTTAAAAAAGGAGCTACTTATTGTTTTTTTTATGATACCAAATGACAGGACGAACAAGTACTGGTAGTAAGGGACACGCCTGTCCATAATATTGCAGTCCCACTCAGAGCGTTAAATCACAAAATCTGAGGGGCACTGCCACTGCGCCCGTCACCCTGAGACATAAGTTGACAAGTCCCATATGTGTGTAATTGGTTAAAATAAACAAGTAACAACACGATTTGTCGGCTTTGCACGTTAAACATCGTCCTAATGAATGACTTGATTTTGAGACAGGCCACAGTTCTAGAAAGTCATCGATATACTTATCGACTTCTTTGGCACGAATTTTATTTACAATATTATTTACAATTCCGGACCAAATTTCATGTGCCATATGGTGCTATGAGTAATCCATTTTAGTCAAAATTGTAAGTTACGTCCAATAACACACAATGCACAACATAAAGTGCTCCATAGCACTTACACACTTTATAACATAAAGTGCTAACACATGTTAGGTAATGTTTTCGTGTTTGTAGAATGATTTAGTACATTTTTGTTATCATTTTTGTTCTATTATTTTTCTTTACAAATAATCTATACGACTAGTGTATATTCCCTTTATGAATATTAGTGTTTTGTGTTCTTTTTATCGTTTTATCCCTGTCCTAATTTCACAATTCACTTATTATTTGTTTCGTGTGGATTGACAAACGTGTTATATAAAATACAATAAAATATTCCAGCACATGAACCCTGTAAGGGCACTACAATGATGATAACATAATTAATTATTAATTTCATATGCAATAGCATAACATTCTTTACAATTATAAAATATGTTAAAGTAATATAAAATGTATATCACAACAATTCAAATTGAATAATACATATAATAATAACAATATCAATACATATAGTCAAACTAATGCAATTTAATTTATATTTAAAATAAAAGAAAGGACGAAAACGAAAATTAAATAATCTAAGGGAATGCCCTTAAATTATAATGTATTAATTAAAAAATCGAATACAAAGAAAATGCCCTCCGAGGATATTTTTACCTGCTTTGTTTGTTATATCTAGTCGAATTTCCTGTTTTGCCTTATATTTACGTTTATATTTTTGTTGTTCCAGTGGGATGACAATGAGCATCAACAACAACAGCCTAACAAATAACAACAACACGACCAACATAAACAACAACAACAATGACGAAAAGGAAATGCCCGATCCTGATTATATCAAGGTATGTAATTTTGAAGATAGTCAAGTTGAATACAACATTGTATTTTCACATTCATATTCAGGTTTTTATTACAAGAATTGTATTTAAAGTATAATATTGTTGTAACTTTTCTCTTTGTTCTCTGAATCATCCCAAATAACTTTTAAGAATGAAATCCTGTAAACACTATAAAGCAATAATAGGAATAAAGTTTCTTCACTACTAAGAAATTAAATAAAAAACGTCTTAGCCACTCTTGTCAATTCTTTCTTACTTGAAATCAATGAATTTACAGGAAATAAGAAAATTGTTTTTGTTAGAGTTCTACTTTTTACTTTTTAATTGATATATTAGAAATTAATAAGTATACTTAATCATTTCTAATATATTAATTAAAATTGTGGTGGCCAAGGTAGCTAAAATGTTTTTATCTTTGAGGGCCCAACAAATTGTTTAGCAGTTGTATTCCGTATGCATCTTATCGAAAAACACCATCCTATTCTCTTACCTAACACGAACCAAGTCGCATCGATCCAAACCACGGTAAATGTGACCTAAATTTTTATTATAGTGACAGTCGTAGTAAAAACATCAATACATTGGAAGTGAAAATATAAAAAAGGGATTTAAAAAAAATAAAGTGTAGACCTTCCTTTACTTACTTACATTTATTAAATTATTTACTTTTATTACCTTACCTATTTCTGCCGCCAAGCAGTAATGTCAACATTACTGTGTTCCGGTTCTGAAAGGTAAGAGTGCTAGTGAAATTATGGAACTTGTCAACTTATATCTCAGGGTGATGGGCGCAGTGGCAGTGCCCCTCAGATCTTTGCGATTTAAAGCTCTGAGTGGCACTGCAGCTGTTATGGACAGGCGTGTTCACCATCAGGCGCATGACTTGTTCATCCCGTCACTTGATATTATAAAAAAAATATTTTACAAAGACTTTTTTACAAAACTTGAGCTCATTACACGTGTCTTTTTGATACAATCTTCTTGAGGCCGATTCAGGACTGCATTCATTCGTGGATTCTTTTGCTTCCTGTGATGTTTCCTATGTAATAAGATTGCATCGCGAACTTAACATCTTTAGTTTAAATTAATTTGAATGTAAAAAAAGTTGGCAAACTGGTTGCAAAAGTTAAATTATGAGAATACTGAAGCTATGCTTCATCCAATAGTGTGACTCAAGGCTTTGCTGATCTGTAGGATTACACGTGCATATACACGCGCGCACTCATACGTATATGCACTCACACACGCAGAAGCATTCACGCGCACACCCACACATATATACACTCACACACTCAGGCACATTCACGCACACATACGCACACGCGCGCACGCGAAAACACAAGCACACACACACACAACACACACACACATTCTAAATTTAAATTGTACTTTCAGTTTAAAAGTAAGTTTCAGTTCTAAAGTTGAATAGTGTATAAATGTAAAAATTATCTTTAATTTTATATTTTTCATATTTTGTTTCTCTCTTACAATGTTTAATGATTTCTTAGTAATGCCATGATATAGTATGTAGGTATTATTCCCTTGGTGAGGGCCTGGTGAAGCCCTTGTAGTACGTAGTAGATGTTGACCTTCTGAACGTGTTTTTGTGGAGACATAAACATATTATTATTATTATTATTAAAAACAAAAAGTCAATATTATAGACATAAAATACGAAGACGATAATTGTGAAAACAATTGTTAACCTTAAACTGTTTTCAATGGATTATACAAAAGTTTTTGTATTATTGCTTTCCATGAGACAAATTGCCAATTTGGCAAGAAACAGTACTATAGGCTCTGACTTAACTATATCATATGAACATACGAAAACTTGTAGCATTAAGCAAAATACACAAATTAATAAAAAATACTTAACTATTCAAGCCCATGAATCAAAAAATAATTACCACAAAAATCTGCGAAAACTTCGACAATACATCATTTGGAGCTCACGAAATTAGTTTAACGCAAAAAAGACGCATACCAGGATTAATAAATGTTCCAGAGCAGAAAACACATTAACTTTGCGCCGAACAGAACGAATGCAAACTTGGTAATTCGCAAATGAAGTTATATATTGCCGTAATTAAAAATGTTTCACCTCACTCCCCTCGCCGACCAATTGAGAATTTACTGCTTTTGATCAACGTTTTGTTTGTCTATCAAATTAACTTTTTGAATTCGGCTTGTTTACAAAATAATGAATAAATTAATGGAATAATATTTTTTAATTTGGATAATATTATTTAATTTCTATCGTAATAGGTGACAGTACAGTTTTGTGACAATGCGACCTCTTCCATCGTCATCCCACCTTTTTATCACCTTTTCCCTAGTTCCTGGCCACTTATTGTCTTCAAATTTTGAGTCGTTCGTTCTCACTTTGTTTCGTTCCGTCGTCTCTCTGCTTAGTCTCTGAAGCGAGCACTCCTGCTCGTCTTCACCGCAAATTTTGATCCGTTTATCAGTTTCCATTTTAAATCATGTGCGTATTTAATACCACTAACATCTAGTTATATTTGTAAAATACGGCCTTTTCGGGATAAGCCTCCTGTCTCACAATTTTATAGTATCTGTTTTTTAATATTGTACCTGTTTTGTATACCATTTTTTGTTACAACCTTTCTTTCACCTTTGTCGTATAAAATAATTTTATGTGACCGAGTAATCTATTTTATTGCTTCCTACTGGCGGTTTTCAACTTTTCACTGGCACCCGAACAGGGACAACAGGAAAAAAATGGTATAAAAAACAATATTAAAAAACACTACCTAGTTAAACACTATAAAATTGTGAGACAGTATACTTACCCCGAAAGGGCCGTATTTAACAAATATTACTAGATTTTAGTGGTATTAAATAGGCACATGATTTAAAATGGAAACTGGTAAATGGATCAAAGTTAGCGGTGAAGACGAGTAGAGTGCTCGCGTCATAGATTAAGCAGAGAGAGACGACGGAACGAAACAAAGTGAGAATGACGAGGCAAAGGAATTAAAGAACGATTCAAAATTTGAAAATAAGTGGCCAGGAAACGCAGAAAAGGTGATAAAAAGGTGGAATGAGTTTACACAGTTTGATCGTTAAAACGTTTATTATTTATTAAAAACCAGTTCTAAAATACGATTTTCATAATTCTATTTGTAATTGTAGTTTTTAAATTATTTTTTGTAATATTAATAAATGTAATATTTGTATTTCTGTATCGGAGACGTAAATGAGTTTTGTATCATGAAATTCCATGAGGTCTAAATGTTTAACTTTATTAAGTTCTACCATGGTCTAATAAATCAAAAGGATTACTAATTGCGGTACAAGAAAGCTATTTTTACACTGACAAACTGCAATTTATCCAAGCTGCTATAATTTCTAGTGATAATAAAGAAATTAACTAGATGGCGCTCATTGCACAGATTTTTATGGATAGTGCAGGCTATTATTTTGTTTTCTTTGGGATTGGTGCTATCTGTGTTAAGAAGCGTTAATATATACATTAGTTTGTAACACACAATGCCATCTATTGACACGCATATTTGTCAAAGTTCAGAAAATCATTTAAGGTCATGATAAATATTTGATGAATTATGAGGAAAAAACTGACGTCTTATATTTCATATTAAAGAGGAATTAATTTGATATCCACGGCTAATTCATCATACAAACGACTTCAGATTACTATAGGTACTTTGAGATTAACAATCGAGTATATAACCAGAAATACAGACGAAATAAGGGCTATATATTCGTGGTAACACATTAGCGATACAGCTCTTATAAATATGAACTCCCGTTTGCACTGAAATATAGATAGACCAACTACTGACTTGTGTGTACGTCTCCATATATTCCAAAAAAATCTGTATTTATTGTAATAAAGGTAATATATCTAACAATGCCGTGCTGTTCTATTCGGTGGTGTGGGAAAAACTGCAAAACATCTAATTACAAAACAAACGGAATCACATTTTATCGGTAATTAAATATGTAATTATGCAATATTCGTCCATTATAGCAAAGCTCAAGTTAACTGGTCGACTTGAAGTGAAGCAGTTGACGACACTCATTGACGACACCCGTCAATTGTTTCGAATTCGGGCTAGCCAATCGGAGCGCAGTTGTCACGGTAATGATATGGCAGAATAGTTTTCAAACAAATTAAATGACATTTCGTATCTATTTTTGGTTATACACTTCTGGACACATCTATTGGCCCACCTTAGAGTTTAGGTTTCGATGGCCCCTACCGAAATATGATTGCTAGATTGAACAAAAACTGTTGATGCAGTTTTAAACCTGATACATTTTACTATCTTTTTCGATCGTATTGTTTTAAATTTGAATTCAGAATACCATACGACATGGAGCTACGCCTAACAAATCGGATATGCGCCTTGTTAAAGGCAATTGATTTTTGAATAAAAAACATGTTTTATCAAATAAAGGTTTAATTTAATAACGCGTGTTGCCTCTACGATTAGGCATAGAGTTTATCAGCCGCTCTATGAAATTTTGAGGGATCATCTCCCATTCCTCTTCTATGGCAGTTTTCAACTCCTGCATCGTCTGGGCAACTGGCTGACGAGCCCTAACACGTCTTTTTAGCTCGTCCCACATGTGCTCAATGGGGTTCATATCTGGGCTTCTGGCTGGCCAGTCCATAACTGTGATGTTCACATCCCGAAGATATTCCCTGACGGTGCCGGCCGCATGGGCTCTTGCATTATCATGCATAAAAAGGAAATTTGGGCCCACATAGTCCGCGTATGGTATCACGTGAGGTTCTAAGCATCACGAATGTACCTTTCAGCATTTAATGTTGGCAGCCGTGGTCCTGTAACAACCTCAAGTTGAGTTTTGCCGCTCGCGGATATACCGCCCCAGACAGTCCATGAGCCACCGCCATAAGCAACCCTCTCTTCAAAGCAGCATTGTGCGAAACGCTCTCCCTTACGTCAGTAGACCTTCTTCGTTCCATCATTGCCATGTAACACAATTTTAGACTCATCAGAAAAGAGTACACGGCTCCAATCTTGCTGTGTCCAATTTAAATGACTGCGTGCGTAATGAAGGCGCGCTGTTCGGTGGGCTCGCGTTAGTTTGGGCCCATTAGCTGGCTTGTGTGGTACCATATCGCGTTCTTTTAACCTTCTCCGAACAGTTCGAGCGCTCACAGATACTCCGTGGAAGTCGCGAAGTTGGTTTTGTATCTCAATGGAGGTAAGGTGACGATTTCTCAAGCTAGTCGTCACGATGAATCGATCCTGCCTTTCAGTTGTGACCCGAGATCGTGGCCTTCCTTGGCGACGAACAAAGCCGCCAGTCTCTAGGTACCTCCGATAAACATTTCGGACCGCAGATCGACTTAAATTAAGTTAAGCACTCACGTTTCTTTGGCTGTGTCCGGCCTGAATAAGTGCCACAGCTTGGGCGGCGACTTCAGGTGAAGTATCCATAGATTGTTGATAGAACCTCACCTTAATGTTAAGAATAAGTAATGTTTGTTGCAAAACCAAAGATATCAATCACTTTTTCAAGAATTAAATCCAAGTAAACCAATAAAACCAAGTTTTCTTAGTATTCGATTGTTTGATATCAACAAACAGGCTCCAAATTGTCTTTTGTTTCTTTAAATTCTGTGTTCGAAATTCAAAAAAAGACTATTGAATGAAATTGTGAATGTGCCAGGTTCAAAACTGCATAAAAACTTTTTGCTCGACCTAATATAAAATTTTAGCTAGGACCAAACGGAACTGAAAATACAAGGTGGGCCAATAGATGTGTCCAGAAGTGTATATTCAATGAGATTAACAGTCTTCTTGAGTTATAGGTCCATGGTTCTACCAAAAGAAACAAAAAAGTGTATTTTGAGTTGTTGTGTTTTTGCTATTGGTATACATAGGAAATGAGGCTATTTTTTGGATCTAAGTCGCATCTATGGATCTAAGTATATTTGTTTTTTCAAAAAACCAATGTTTCGGGTCCTTTAGCGCATTGGCGTACTGCATCCGATTCGTAAACACATCTAGAAATCTCGGATCCACTTCGGATGTTACTTGTGCACTAAGTCCTATTTGAATCCGAGAAAATACGAATATCGCTTGTACACCCAGAGATAAAATGATACTTCGGACAGCTTTTTGTAAGCAGCAGACCTCCTTGTGAAAGAGTTCGTCCAGGGAAATACTGCCACCTTAGGCGCCTTGACGTCGAGTTGCGGACACTAGCCCGTTACACCAAGTACCAAGTACCAAGTACTGCCACCTTACCTATTTCTGCCGCTAAGCAAAAATGTTAGCATTACTGTGTTCCGGTTTTGAAGGGTGCTGGTGAAATTACAGGCCCATGGGACTTGTCAACTTATGTCTCAGGGTGACGGGCGCAGTGGCTCAGCCCTCAGATCTTTGCGATTTGAAGCTCTGAGTGGCACTGCAACTGTTATGGACAGGCGTGTAGCTTACCATCAGGTACACGACTTGTTCGTCCCGTCACTTGATATTATAAAAAAAAAGCTGTGACATTTCGGACCGTCATTTTTCGGATTTTTTAGGTTTTACAGCTCATACAGGTCCCATGGGTACAGCTGTAACGGGATTTAGATCTAAAAAAAATGCTCCATTTCCTAAAAAAATGTATTGTTTCATATCATAAATATAATAATTAAAAGAAATATGTCAGCTACAATATTTCGTGTTGCACACATTAACGCGTCATCAGTCAAAGAACTCCGTCTATTATTGACATTTACATTTTGGGGCCAATTAAAAACGGTCCTGTTCACGGTTGATTAACCACCCCATGTCATTAAAATCGTCTGGATGATAACACTGAATTGCTATGTCAATATTCTTTGTGCGACGCTTCTGCATATTTCGATTAAATACTAATAATAACTATTATATAATCCCCGTGTGCATATGCGTACACCTCCCAATATTTGTGAGTTTTTTTTCTAGAAATGTGGTATAAATGCGTGATGGTGGCTTTCATGAAACCTTTTCACCATTGTGCAAGTTTCTATTTTAGTTTTCTGCACTTAAGACTCGATACAACCTCAAATAGCGTTAGTTGATTCCGCAGTGGAAGTGTTGAATCAATCAATCAATTTACGTCTCTGGGTGACGGGCGCAATGGTAGTGCCCCTCAGATCTTTGCAATTTAAAGCTCTGAGTGGCACTGTAACTGTTTTGGACAGGCGTGTAGCCGGCCATCAGGCGCACGACTTGTTCGACCCGACAATTGATGTTATAAAAATAAAAAGTTTTTCAAATGGCTTCAATTTCGTTTATAAAAAAATAAATTCTGAAATAAAGCCAGTGTCCTTGCCAGTCAACTCTAGCAAAATAAGACGTATTAATACGGGAAAAATATTAATCCGAGCTGAGATAGTATCGACTCTTAAAAAGTTGTTCAAGGAGGTGACATTTTCAATTCAGATCTGACGAGTATGAGTTTGAAGGTTTGGAAACTTTATGATTGCTTTGCCGCGATTCCACCGCCGAAGTTGTGATATTTTGACATGCCACAACACAGAGTAATGCTTTCGTGAATCCACCCAAAACGAAGCCATAATACGATTCAAATGCAAATTGCAGATGTTCGTTGGTCAAGTACCGCGGAGTATGGACGAGAACGACCTGCGGCTAATGTTCGAGGAGTTCGGCCGGGTGCATCAGATCAACGTGCTCCGGGACAAAATAACCGGCGCGAGTAAAGGTTTGTACTTTTTATACCTGTTTCATACCATCAATTAAATGTTCGAAAGCTCAAAATAAAATGGTTAAATTACGCAATCTTTTCAAAATACTCCTTCAGTCATTGATTGCATTATGACGACAGAAAACGTACGCATATTTGGTGTATGGTACAGTCTTGAGATTGAAATGGAAAAGAACGATAGCATATTGTATCATTATTAAACCACTGCCGTTAACCTGATTTCCAAATTAGGATTTTTTTATACTATACAAGTACCGGAGTAGCGAAATGAACTTGGGGATACGCAGGAGACCCCAACCGATTTAGAACAGCTCATTTGTTGTTAATCCTATCAAGAATCAAACTGCCCGACTTCGTCGTCTAGCATATAGAATACCAACAGCTACGCCACGTAGTCGTCAAAATTTTAATATTCATGTAGTCCTAATAAAAAAAGATTCCACGAAGTCAATTACTTTGTTTAATTTAGACTTAGCATGATTAATGACTTTGTCGTAAATTTTAAAAGTAATTGTCAACAATGACACATAGTTTACTCAACACTATTTCAGACTGTAAACTCTATTCACTTATGACTGCTTGTTTAATTTAGTTTTATTCGTTCGTGTAGAAATTAAATATATTTTGTATTCAAATCTGTACATGTAAATCGTCCAACTACCAAGCTGTTGATTAATTGGGAATATCTATTTTTTTATATGTATAATGGTGTTCTTACTCCCACGCTATACATATATTTTGATTTCACTGGACTGGAATCAGCATCTGTTGTCACACCGGAACCGCTAACTTGTCAGAACGGTGGCCCGAGTGTGGCAACAGTCCCTGGTTCGAGTATATGTGGTTGTTAAACATATTTTTGCCGTAATGACAGAGCAAATCTCACCACTTCGAAGAAATATTTGTAATTGTTTTTCTTGTGATACCACCGCCTAACACTTTTTTTTAATATTTAGCTATACGACAGAACGATTTTCTATGTAATTCTGATTTTTCAGCATCGATGACATAAACTTTTAAGAATATACAACGCATGCTTTGAAGAGAACATTTCGTACCATTGTTCTGTTGTCAACAAAGGGTCCCGTACGTTGCATGTTGACATTTTTGTTTGCTTTGTTAAACGTCTTTTGTCTGAAAAAGCTCCTTTTGTCAGTTTTCATGCAAAAATGAACACTTTTGTTCTTGTACACGGGAAACGGTGCATACCCTTCGTCTAAAACTACTATGAACATAACAAATCTATTTATTGTTGGTTCGTGTCTTTTGGAATAAAGATTATAATATTCTGTCATCTTCAATCGCTAAAGTAAATATAAATAAATAAAAATATTAGACTACATCACATACGTTGCTCTGATCCCAAAGAAAGTAGCTAAATCACTTGTGTCATGGAAATCGGAAACGACGACGGTACCAGACCCGAGACAATATGAGGCCATGAGAACCATAGTGGCCTAACTCATTTTTTTACAATTTTTTCCAGTCATTTTGATAGAACCAGAAACGCCTAAAAGTGATACAACGAATTTTCACTAGATGGCAGCATAATCATTGTTATGGATTTTAGTCTGCGATCTAAACTTGAGGTGCCATACTGGCCTAAGTAAGATAGGCCACTATGGCTTGTCCATTGAATTAGGCCACTATGGTTCTCATGGCCTCATATAGAAAAGTTACTTTTTCTGCACTGACCCGACTGCGTGATCGAACTCGGGACCTCGGAGATGGTGACACCATGAAAACCGGTGTACCAGCCACTCCACCACGTAAGTCGTTATGAACTTTAACTTTTACGATTACTGCAAAATGGAATTGAAACTATTTTTTCCACATTTCAAATTAACTAACTTTTCGGGTTGACTTTCAGACGTAGCCATTGGACCTGCAAGAAGGCCGAAACGTTGGTTTGTTTAAAAAAACTACGCTTTTCAGATCCAAAAAATACGGGTGCGATTCGTAATATATAACAACATATTTTTAGTCGATATAACGCTCAACAGATATAATTAATTTATGGTATACAGACGTTTGACATATTCTTGCATGATATAAAAGTCACTGGGTATAATAGACGATTGATATAACAACTTTCAATCTAATATACCGATGGAATAATGTTCATTTTATATAAACACTTCAGATATAACATTCACTCAGTATAATGTTGAATGTGTGTGTGTGTGTGTGTAAAAAAAATATATTAATATAATTTCAGTGGTGTTTAGGTGCAACGGTGAATACACCGAATTTGTTTGCATTTCCTAGTTGGTTCGACTTCCTCGTGTGGGTTTAGGTTAGGTTAGTATATGACAAAGTTCCCAGAACCGCATTTGTTTGCATTTGCTAGTTGGTTCGACCTCCTCCTATGGGTTTAGGTTAGGTTAGTATATGACAAAGCTGCTAGAATCAAATTTGTTGGCATTTGCTAGTTGGTCCAACCTCCTCCTGTGGGCTTAGGTTAGGTTAGTATATGACAAAGCTGCCAGAATCGAATTTATTTACATTTGCTAGTTGGTTCGACCTCCTCCTGTGGGTTTAGGTTAGGTTAGTATATGACAAAGCTGCCAGAATCGAAATTGTTTATATTTGCTATTTGGTACGACCTCCTCCTGTGGGTTTAGATTAGGTTAGCATATGACAAACCTGCCAGAATCGAATTTGTTTGCATTTGCTAGTTGGTTCGACCTCCTCCTATGGGTTTAGGTTACGTTAGTATATGCAATTAAATATTCTACTTAAAGTCTTAATAAATATATTTTATAACACAAAGAGCACTTACAGCTATACAAATTTCATCGCTGCACTAGGTTCCTTCGCGTTTGGATACCACTTTCCACTTAACATAAGGTGGAGTGGAGCCATTTGCCTGTCATGTATAAAAAAAACAATTATATTTTGCGATTGTATACATTTCATGGAATAAAAAAAATTCTTATCAACATACTGTAGGGTGCTTCAACTATTCGTAAAACGAAATATTGTGTTTTATTATTTAATACATTATACTGGTACTACTTAGACCATTTGTTCATTATGTCACTTAATCATTATATCTAATGTTTGTTACACTGAAGGTTCATTATACACATTGAAATTATGCCTTTTATTGTTATAACTTTTGTTGATTATATGCAGTGAGTGATTATATCCCTAAAAATTATATCAAATGTTATTATATCAAGTGAAAATAGATTATTTGTTGTTATATCTTCCATTACACACCCGAAAAATACAGTTTCATTTCCAATAATAATACATTTACAATTTTCGCCATATGAAATATCGCAGTAAAAAACTCGTGTTCTTTTCACGTCACTCACAATCAGCGTGTCGTGTCGAACATGACTAAAGGATTTAAATAACGTTCTAAGCTTCCTAAATCGACCTGGCTTACTATAATAGCTTGAAGCAATCATCGATTCTATATATCTTTAACAGCTCTAGTTGGTTTTAGCGCCGTTCGCGTGACTCACTCAATATATTGTGCGTGCCATTTAGTAAGTCTAACCGCACCACTCTAAGCATTCTGCAACTACTTGAAATATGACTTCATGATTAGTGAATTACTAAGTACTGCTTTTGGGAATGGGAATTATGAAGTATTGATTTTAGGAAATGTTTTGAGCCAAAGCATAAGTAACTTTTTCAACTGTCCCTGTGTTTATTACTGCGATGAGAGTACTAAAGAGTAGCCACACTGATGCGTGTTGATGAGGCGAAGGATGTGTGTCAGGATAGCAAGTGGAAGGTTGTAGTTTCTGCCTTGGGGAAAAATGGTGTTAAGAATTTATGTATATACGAGTATAATATAACTGGCAATCGTGAATTACCTGGTCTTAAACTAGGAAATCACCTGTACTAAGACCGCCTGACTAGGGAACTTCCGAAGACAATCAGAACCAATCTAAAAAAGTTTTTAAATTGGTCTAACTAAATCACAAAAGCTCATAATGCTAATTGAGGGACCACTGAAAATAAGTAATAACAAAATTAGGTAGATATTAAAATACCCTATTTTTTTTCTACGAACTCTATTTTCTTTCTGCTGATAGTAGTGTTCTCTATTGTTCTTACTTCCAAAAGCAGTACTGCTATTTTCCAGGCGCAGGCGTAGGACTTGAAATTGTGTCCCAGGGTCATCAACATACTTTCTATATTAAAGGTGCTTTCCATAGAACGTAACGGCGGACTGTTTCCTGGTTTAACTTAATTGTTTCTTTACTTGCCTAAAGATCTTTCCCTCGTCCAGTTTTGAAACATTTTCACTCAAATCTCCTCTATGTGCCTAACTTTCGTTTTCACGTCATATAATTTGCATAATAGCTTGACTCGTAAGTAGAAGATCGATTTGTTGGGCAAGTCATTAACAGCTGGCAATAGCGTGCCGGCAAAGCTTTAAAGCTATTACGTGATATTTGCGTGACTGTACGAGCATGCGTGCCATTTTGTAAATGAGCACGCTCATAGTATAGGCGTAGTAATCGTTTTTCATACGTTTTGGGGTAATTTTCAGGACTCACATCGACCTAGGCTGTACATGAACATAGTAATTATGCATACGTAAATACATAATTGTATGTATGAGTGGTTACCTACGGCTACTTTTACCAGCGATGCAAACGGGCGTTCGTGAAACGCATGATTGCATTGCATCGTATGCACTGTAAGCAGCCTAACAAATTTTTTAATTGTATCTGCGTTTAAATTGTGTATCCATTTTTTTAGTACCACAAGTTGCTTTTGGTAGGAAATATATAACAATGTGTAAGTAAAAACCGTCTTAAAAAAATTGTAACTACCCTCGCCTTGCTCTGTTTCTCAGATCGTTATGAGACCATAAAAATAAAGACCGCAACGATCTCTGCGGATTCTTAGAAAGTACTATCAGGACATAATGGCGACTCAAGAGGTCGTCCTTGAGTTCCCTGTGAGCTGACCGTGAATCCGTCATACCCTCAACGTCTGGAATTTATTGACACTACGCGACACAAGTGCCAATAACCCACAAGTACTTCGTCTTTTAAAGGATTTCCGAGACATTGTTTTTTAGCCTACTTAAGCCGCTACGTTCGTCTGAACTTTGTCTGAAAGTCCTTTTTGGACTGGAATAGGAAACGACATACATGAATACACATAGGAAACAATTTATTTTCGGATGTATCGGTTGACCGTGACCATGCGACCTGTTGAAACTAAATTGGCGATTAAGATCCGGAAAAAAGATAATTTCATTTCTTATGGAATTTACGAGTTTTAGAATTGTTGTAATTACTTGTATAGCAGCGACAGTAATAGACCATGAGCAAAGAACTGATAAATATTGCATGTTATTGAGATAGGACGGTATTTTTTTTAAGGTACTCGATAGGTTTTTCATTGAATTTTCTTATGACTAAAAGGTCCTATCTGTTAATTCTCGAAAGGTTCTTTCGAGAAAGTCATTTCCTCTAAGAAATCTTATAAATATTGACAAACCTTATCAAGGATAGAGCTTGTGTACATGAAATCGTATTGTCTCTAGCCTTCGATGTCTTGTAAACAAATTTGTACCCAATTATTACTGTTGATGTTTACAAATACATTCTTAGAAGACGTCTATTCACAAATTCTAAGCAGCAGAGTTCTTTTTTTCCTGTTATTTGACTAAAAAAGTCACAAATGTTGTTTTGCTTTTCTTGGAAGAAAATTACGGCTGTAGGTACAGATATTAATGATGAAATTCGTCCTCAGAAAACTACATAGTTGGAAGGAAGCTTCGTTGTATAATGCTTTTGGAATTGATAATATTTATATTTTATAATTGTCTTACCTTTCTAGGAATATCACTTGAAGAATAATATTTTGTTTATGTGTTAGAATTAGCCGTTCAATGTTATTTTACCTACAGGTGCGTACAGATTTGCTCGATTTTTAATGATGTTTGATGATAAATGACAAGGCAAAAATGCAACAAATTTCTAGGCATTTGCGCCTAATGTTAATTCCACAGTCTCCATCGACAAAAAATACGTTGTCGATTGTCTGTGGCTTACACATTTATTCAATGTTGTCGGATCACACGTGTCGATCGTCAAAAAAACGAGCAAACCTGTACCTTATAGTGTGTGATTAATTAGAAGGTGAAGCATATTTTTATTTTGTTTGTGTCGTACAAACATAGTTTAGATATATTTGTTTACTTGTAAAAATACACGTTTGAACATGTTTATCGTAGTATTTCGTTGTCTGTCCTAAGCTTTGTTTGTACGAATCTTGCAGTTTAATAACTGTTGAATTTGTCATACGTACTTTGTACTGTATTGCCCTATACAAGGCTAGTAAACAAAAAAGTTGTCTCAATGAATAAATAAAATTATTGTCATGAGTATTTATATAGTGGGAGTTATTGTTGACACATTGTCTAGAATGCAGAAACTCGAAACTCACCACTGTAATACTGTATGTTATTATATTTCACGATTCAACAATACTTATCAAACAAGGTTTAAGTAAAACTTTAGTCTTTTATTGTAGTTCAGTGTAGAGATACTTATAACAATATATCTAAAGTTATGACGTCAATAATAACACCCACCTCGTAGAATGTTGTAATTTCTTTAGTGATTTCATTTGGCAGAGGTTGGTTATGCGACTAATAACCCCCACGTCATAGAATGTTGAGACTTCTTTAGTGACTTTGGGGTTTGTGATGTCAAAAATAACCCCCACCTCGTAGAATGTTGAGACTTCTTTACTCACCTTGTCCCTAGTGTCTGTCATGTGGATGTCATGTTATGTACAGCGTGCGCTTTGTTGCAGGGTGCTGTTTTGTGACGTTTTTCACACGCAAGGCGGCGTTGAAAGCGCAAGACGCTTTGCACAATATCAAAACGTTAAGTGGGGTAAGTGCGTTTTATGTTCTTACATTACATATACTTGTTACAGGATGCTTAATAATATTTAGCAGAATTTTAAAGCAGTTTTGTGTTAATTAATTTAAGAAATTGTATACATTGAACCAAACTCTCGTTACAATTCTTACACTACCTTTGCAGTTTAAAAATTTTGTTTATCTTTCAAAGTATCATTGGTATCTTAAAGGTCAAATTGTAAGCAAACTTATTTAAAACGTTTTTCAATTCTTAATTAAGACCAATTTACTCAAAATTATGCTGATATTATTATGACATCAAGTGACGGGACGAACGAGTCACGCCTGTCCATATGACCATTGCAGTGCATCTCAGCTTAAATCACAAAGTTATTGCCCCTCAGGTCTTTGCGCCACTGCGCCCGTCACCCTGAGATATAAGTTGCCAAGTTCCGGTGCCCGTAATTTCACCAGCACCCTTCAAAAAATAAAGAAAAATACAAAATTTAGTTCGAAACAATCTATGTAATTAAAAATAAATCATTCACGTAACTTTTCAAAAATTACCGCCAAACCATTTCTGGATTGGATGAAGGTTCCACTCTGTATTTTGAGCGTAGAAAATCATGTAAAGTTATGAAAATAAATATTAGTAATATTCCTTAACGTATGAACTCCCAACAATATATAAGTAATATCTAAAAAATATATATAATAAATGAAACACTCGTTTTATGGAAATCAGAAACAACAACGGTATCACAAAAACACAGACCCAAAACAATATAGAAAAGTTAGAACCCGACCGGTAATCTAACCCGGGACCTCAGAGACAGCGACACCATGAAAACCAGTATGCAAGCCACTCAACCACGGAGGTCTAGACGACCTATACTTGTGAATTTTATGTCTCAGGGTGACGGCTGCAGTGACAGTGCCCCTCAGATCTTTGCGATTTCAACGCTGCAACTGTTAAGGACAGTCGTGTCGCTTACCACCAGGCGCACAACTTGTTCGTGCCGTTACATGGTATTATAAACAAATGCTAATCAAACTAAATTTTACGGCATCAGTTACTAACATTGCAGCAATAGAGCTTCTTGCAAAAGAGTTCGTCCAGGGTTGTACTGCCTGCCACCTTACCTATTTCTGCCGCCAAGCAGTGTAATGTGAGCATTAGTTACTGCGTTCCGTTTTTGAAGGGTAAAGGTGCTGGTGAAATTACAGGATCATGAGACTTAACAATTTATGTCTCAGGGTGAAGGGCGCAGTGGCACTACCCCACTGATCTTTATGTTTAAAAGCTCTGCAACTGTTATGGATACGCGTGTCGCTTACCATTAGGCGCATGACCTATTTGTCCCGTCACTAAAAATCTTTAAAAAAACTATAGAAGACACTATTTATTCAACGCAAGTACAAAGAAGCACAAAGAAACTTTCCCCTTTCTCACTGCCTTATCTGGAAAACCGATCCATGAATATAAGGATATAAAATTATAGATTATTTCCTACTTTATTATCGCGAATGTAATGGACCTGTTGCTAAGATGAGTTCTATAACAATTTTCTTTATTACATTACGTAGACAAGGGGAGGTGAGGCGGTACGGGGAGACAAACATTTCTACTCGACATCGCATCCCCCAATTGTTACTGAATACAATCGAATTACTGACTCTTTCCTTCAAGAGCGAGCGTCTTTCTTTACAACTTTTAGGGCTGTGCGATTCATATAAAATTTTAACAGTATTACTGTAATTATTACACGGTAATACTAGTTACTTTTTAAAAATTAATTTATGTTTACCGCTGTAAATTCAGAAATACTTGAAATAAATAATTACACTAGATGATTATCAGAATTATTTCAAAAAATGATTTCACACTCCATTGTCACGGTATAATTCTGGTGTCAGTGGGGTACCACCGAGCGCGTAACCGTTCTGAAATATCAGAAAATATTAAATTCATACCGTGTGCTAAGAAACTTGTACTTAGTGACAATCAATAATGACTTATCGAATAGACTGAACGTTAAAACTAAAAACGAATAACGCCATTTTAGAAAAACTTCAAAACAACAAACGTATTATTTTTGTGTTATAAGGAGCTCGCAGTTAGTGTATCTGACTTGTAGACTCGAACAAAATTATTTGTAATGGCGCTTTTTACAAAATCTACTTCTTACGAAATATAATATAAATAAATGAATGTTAATGTTGTACTAAATAGTTTATATTATGCGTACACCTGAATAATTTTAGTTTTTTTTTTATTAATTACCTATTGGCAGGAATACACTCTTGACGACACAGTACACTGTATCATTTTGTCGAAATGATATTGAGTAGTCTAGTAGAATCAAAAGATAAATACTACATTTTGCAATGCGATTACACGTTTTTTTTTTTTATTTGGTATTGACCGAGATTCTCATTGTGTTGTATTTGTTTTTCGGCGGCATTTCATTTTCTTCTTTTTTTTTCAAACTTTGCTCTAATTATAATTGTGTAGTTGTAGTAATTAGGTAACATCTGAACCGTATTTAATTTATTGTATGTTTCTACAATAAAAAGTAACTATTACTGAAACAATAAATAAATAAAATTTATTTTTACATATAAAAACATTCAAGCAAAATGTTGAATGTAAACTTTTTAACAAATCATAATTTTTCAACTTACATTTTCTTTTGAGAAACATTGTCTATATATTATAAATAATTATTTTTATTAAACAACTAATTTGGTCTTTTATTAGTCGACATTTTATTCAGTCATTGTGTAAGCAAAGTATTTTAATAAATACCTTGCAATATATTGTGTAATTATTACATTTTTTACTGTTAATATTCACTAAATATTATTAAGAATATTTTTATGTTTACTTACTTAATCCATTTAAAAGACTTGCACTATAAAAAACTTAACGAAACAAAGGCTCTACACATTAAACGAAAACTTTTTATAAAAATAATATTATATTATCGTGTCATTTGTAAATATCATTTGTCAACCATTCTCACTTAATTTACTGTAATTTCTTTTCTGTAGAAAAAAATTTGCTATCACTGTAGCAATACAGCAAGTAGCTTAAAAAATGGCGTTTTCAAGTGTAAATTTATTTTGCCTATGTATTAAACGATTCTTTGACTTTTATTGCTTCTTTGTTTACAGTTTTTCTAATTCTAAAAAAAACTATGTGACAAATATATTTGGACGAAATTGCCATCCCTACAGACTGCCCCATCTCGTCTTCATCTCGGCGATAATTCAATTCTATTATATTATCAGGGTTTTCTCCCTCGATTGATTCAGACCTCCGCACAGGTGAACAGTGTATGCCGGAATTAATAGAAAATATTTGCTGATAGCTTTCTTTGTGTACAAAATTGACCTTTAATTGGTTTTGCAATATACGAAGAGGTTTCGAGTTACTGTCCAGGACACGTCATGCTAAAGGAAATACACGGTGGTCGTAATTTTCTTTTATAATATCATATCATTGAAAATATCAATATATAATATCAAGTGACGACACGAACAAGTCGTGCGCCTGATGGTGAGCTACACGCCTGTCATAACAGTTGCAGTGCCACTCAGCTCTTTAAATGCAAAGATCTAGGGCGCACTGCCACTGCGCACGTCACCCTAAGACATAATTGATATGTCTCATGTGCCTGTAATTTCACTAAGACCCTTACGCTTCAAAACCGGAACACAGTAATGCTGACATTACTGCTCGGCGGTAGAAACAGATAAGGTGGCAGTACTGCTGCTACTAAATTATTTACTTTACATAGGTATATAAAATCCTATTTGGGCCAACATGTTGAACCATTGCCTAGCTTCTTTCTTTAAATGTTTGTGTCAAATGGATTACTTGTAAACCTTCCGCGAAACTATAATTACTGACATAATAAGCAACACCTTTTGTTCCATAACTTTTTTCGAAACGTAATAAGTTTACCAAAAATAGATTATTAAATTTTTGTTGTACTATTTGACGTTTTTTAAATCTGCATTTGGTAGTACAGTTAAACGTGCAAGCGTCCTCCCCGAGGACGACCCCCACTCCGTGCTCCTGCGTTTTGCATCGGACTGGTATAAATTTACGCTAGCGTTCTCTTTTGTTACCCCAGAGTTATCAACGTTTAGCGCGATCTATTCAAATATTTTATTCTTATATGAGAGTAAAATACGATGAATTATTATAAGTCATGGAACAACAGTTGTTGTTGTTTATGATGTTAATGATATAGTCTTCCGAGGTTGTTAGTATTTTACAAAATTAAATAACCCTAGCTGTATCCTGCTTTGATGTAGGTGCCCATATCTTCTCTTCTCTTCTATCCTCCATCCTTCATCTTACCTGATTGAAAGTAGAATGAGGTCGACGATGGAGCATGCGCACCTAAATAATGCCTATTTATACGGCGAGCGGCTAGGGAGTGGAATTCCTTGCCTGCGGACGTATTTCCCGAACGCTATAACTAGGACCTTTTCAATGCGAGAGTGAAAAGGCGTTATTTAGGTGTGACCTCGACCTCATCATCGCTTTCCTTCAGGTGAGATGGAAGTCAAATGCGCACTTATTTTTGTATAAAAAAATATTCATTCTCGCTTTGAAAAGGCCCAAATTATATCGTTCACAAACAAGTGTGCAGGTAAAAATTTCACTCCATGGCCGTTCGCCATATATAAATGTGTAAACGAACCTAAAATATTTAAATCGTTTTACATGACGTAATTCTGTGGGGTCACGGGTACGATATTATTTTTGTATTTGAAAATGTCTCCTATGCGGTTAAGTTTGTAAAAAATACCTATTTTTACCACATGTCAGGTCGCGCCGGTCATGATCCCGATCACATAAGAGACGACTGTCAAAACTGCGTGTGGGTGGATAGTCGCATCTTTATGCGGGCCATTGCCCGTCTACACAAAGGGAACGGGTAGCCCATGCAAGGCGTGTCGTTATTACTTATTTTATCATTTCGACACGCACACATATACAAACGCATACTTGGG